CTAATAATTAGGTAATACTTTTAAAGTAAATAGGTGTATTTTTAGTTTAATTCATTTTGAAAAGTTAACACATATATATTAAATACAAATTGTTATCTTGCATGAAGATGTTTGTAGATTTTTTTTTTAACTAGCAAAGCATAAGAAGATTCATGTATACACATTGCTAGTTAAAATTAAAGCTAAACACTTTTTTGAAAAAGAATGAGTGCTAGGATTTTCTCTATGCCAAGGAATACTAGGAATTTGTTGGTCAATCAAGCAAAATGTTCAAGGAAAAGGTTATGGGGGACCCTCGATATCCTCTCCGATATGCGATCTCTTAAAGGAAGGTGTTATGTCCTTGGAGTATAGGGTGGTGATCGTCTCCTTCCTAAGTTTACTATTGTTGAATCAACCTTTGTGAAACTATGCAAACCAAGGAAATAATGTTTGGAAGTGAAGTTGTCGGGGAAGAGCATTGGTTTCATTGCTATGTGGAGCGGGCTACAAACACTTTGGAAATTATGGAGGGGGTTGAGTTAATGGATATATCACATGGTTATTTCATGATGAAATTTGATCTTGATGCTGATAGGGAGCATGTAATACAAGGAGGCTCGTGGATGCTCTTTTATCATTACTTGACTGTCAAACAATAATCACTAGAGTTTGTGGCATCTAAGGTGAAGGAGGATAAAAGCCTTGTTTGGGTCCACTTTTCAAGGCTAGATATGGTGTTTTATGAAAAACAAATGCTCTTTTTACCATGGTCTCAACGATAGGAAGGCCTATTAAGGTCAATCTAAACACCCTTAATATGACTAGAGGGAGGTTCGCTAAAGTCTATATTGAAATTGACCTCCATAAACTGATGTTAGGCAAGTGTAATCTCAACAATGTATGATACAAAGTAGAAAATAAAGGCTTGCATATTTACTTTGTATCACATGTGATTATTATAGCCATGTTGCCCGTGTGTGTGTGACTCCTCCTACAGCAATGAAGAAGAGTGCCCAGGGTAAGGAGTCAATGGAAAAGGGTGGAGGTTCATCAACATTGATTGGAAATAGCAACAGTAATGAGAAGATGGAGGAGAAGAGTGATCACGAGCTCCTAGATGTCTCGCTGAATTCACTGCACCTGTATGAAGATTGGTTGATTGTAAAACAAAAATCATGAAAACATAATAGAAACAAATTATTTGCAACACAATTCATGCATGGATCAGGAGGGATGAAAAATTTGACAAGATAGGTGCAAGAGGAAATATCTTAGCTGTTATGGGTGGGTCCCTAACACTATCCAAAAATATGAATAATCATATGGGGCCCAATGTTCAGATTATGTTGGAAAATAGGGTTGGGCCTAATAAAAGGGTGCACGAGGCCATGAGGAAAGAGAAGAAATGGGATCTTGCTAACATAGGTGATCCATGCATGCATGTGGATGTGATTAACGTCAAGAAGGTTAACTCAAAGCCAGGGCTTACTTAGAGTATTGCTCTTCAAATTGTAGATTTAAGTTTGTTCTCCCTATCAAACATGTTGAGGTTACCCAACATACGTATAATGATGTCATGGAAGAGGTCAAAAGTATGGTGCAAGATGGTAATCAAGATGATTGTGAGGGACATCCTAAGGTTGAGGATATAACTTGTGATGACATGCTCTCTTGAGGAGAGCTTCTAGTTACCACTCTAACGGGTTTCTCATGTTAGATAACCATAATATTATTTGTTTGAACATTAGAGGCATAGTGAATGCGAAAGGGACAAAAGGGTTTATGAGTTGGTTAAGTTGCATAAACCTTGTATTTTAATAGTACTAGATACCCATTGTGCATTCTCGTTGGTTGCCTTGCTTTAGAGGGATTTGAACTATAAGTTGCATCATAATGTGAAGGCTAGAGGCATATGGATCTTGGTTGAGAAAAATTGTCAAATATTGATGCTTGAGTTGTTTTCTTTCCCTTAAGCAACTATGATTTTAATCAAGCAACGTTGCAGGAATGGGTGTGTAGAGCTAATGTAACTCCTAGCTTTAATCAGAGAACGAAGGTGTAGGATCATATCAAGAGTCTTAGAAGAAAACTGGTGGTGCCTTGGCTTATATTAAGAGATTTCAACGAGGTCATCTTTAGCTCAAAGATTCAAGGGTGTTGTTTTTCTCCTTCTCGTGCCTCCTAGTTGGTTCAACTCATGAATGATTGTTCCTTGAATGGACCTTGGCTCTAAAGGTTTTAGATACACATGGTATTGAAGTAACTAGGCGTAACAATGGCTAAAAGGCTTGATAAAGTGGTTTGTGACACATCATGGTAGTCTCTCTTTTCAAAAGCTTTTGCAGGAGTCTTTTTTTGGGCTTATTCAAATCATTGCCCCATCTTTGTGCTATGTGGTGGTCTAAAAGATAAGCAAAAGGACTATCCATTCCATTTCCAAGTTGCTTGGTTCACTCATAAGGGATTTGAAAAGGTGGTTCGCGAGGCTTGGATTAGGAGCCCCCTATCCTTGCTAACGGATTAAAAGCTGTCAGGACTGATGCATTAGAATTTAACACTCATATGTTTAGCAATATAACAACTTGAAAAAAGCTATATAGACGAGGTTAAGAGGGGTTCAACTGGAGCTCAAGAAGGGGGATTCTAAGATCCTTTCTTAGCTGGAAGTTACTCTTTAAGCTGAGTTGGATGAGGTTTTATTGCAAGAAGAATTTTTTTGATTTCAAAAGTCTAGAGAGAGGAGGGTAAGGTTTGGTTATAGGAATACTAGCAATTTCCATGCTCAAACCCTTGCTTAGTGAATAAGACATAAGATTTAAGGCTTATTTCTTTCGGACGACACGTGGCATATAGATCCAAAGTCCTCACTAGCGAAGCTTTTTGCTTCTATAAAGAGTTTTTCAAGAAGGAATCACATGGTGCTTTTGTAGGCATGCATCTAGGTGTTTCTTCGATTTTGGGAGAAGAGGTTGTGACCACCCTCTTGGCTCCAATATCTAAAAAAGAGGTTAGAAGGGTTGTTATGAGCATGAAATCCTTTAAGGCACCTCATTTGGACAAATTTCAACCTTTTTTTTATAAACAATTCTGGCACATTGTGGGATGACGAACTTTGGAGGATGGTGCGTGTGAAGCATTTCTGCATGGCTTCTTAGATGAATCTCTTCTTGAAAGGTTAATTATGCTCATCTCAAAGATAAATAATCCATATAACTTTAAAGGCTTTTGCCTGATCATCAATGTAATATGGCGTATAAGGTTATATCAAAAGTGATACTAGCACAACTGCGTCCTCACCTTCATGATATCATTGGACCTTTCCAAGGAAGTTTGTACCAGAGAGAGGAACACTTGATAATAGTATCCTTGTACAAGAGACTCTTCATTTTATATCTAAGGATAAAATTGCTATGAGAACCATGTCATTGAAAACTGACCTTAAGAAGGCATATGATAGAGTGAGTTGGGATTTCCTTCAAGCTACCTTACATAAATTTGATTTTCCTACTCATATCATCCAACAAATCATGTAAAGAGTTGAGAACTTTGCATTGTCAATGCTTTGGAATGAAGGGATGTTGCAACCTTTTCAACCTTCTTGGGGTCTTAAGTAAGGGGATCCTCTCTCCTCGTATCTTTTCATGCCTACATGGAGAGACTTGCTCTTCGCATCCATGAGCTAAATAGAGAAGGGTCTTGGGAAGCTATTTAAATATCACGAGGAGACCCACCTTTGTCTCATTTGTTATTTGTAGATGATATTTTCTTATTTTGTCATGCATTAGGTTTGAAGGTAAATTGTGACAAATGGAGCCCACCATATTATCCCTTTGTCAAGTTGAATGTTGATGAAAGTTGGCTAAAGAATTTTTGAGTGATGAGGATGGTGAAGTGGTAAGGGTTGTTGTTGGTAGATGGAAAGGGGGATTTGCAAACTCATTGGAAGGAGGAAACCCCTTATGTACATAAGTTCTTGCTTTGGATGCACGATTGCATTTATGTTGGGAGGAGGGGTTTAAATTTCTTCTTTATGAGTCGGATTCTATAATTGTCATCTCTACCATTCATGATTACTCACAATACGATTGTTCACGACATAAACATGCACTTATTATCAATATTAGAGAGTTCTTGATTCATGATTGACAAGTGTATCATGAAAGTATTCCTAAAGAGAGTAATAGTTACTCAAGGATTAATCGGATGGAGAGTCAAATTTAGTTTGACATTTGTTAAATGGAGAAGTCCTCCAAATTTCATTTTGCATGATGTTGGTTTAGATTTCATATAGGTCTCTTTGTTTATTTCTATTCATCAATATATCAAACAAAAGATTTTTTTAACTTCTTATATAATTCAGTTTTTATTTATCATATTTTTATGAATTATTATTAATATATAAAATAAATTATCAATCAATAAATAAATTATGCTATAATATAACTTATTTATCATAAATCTAAAATACAATTTATGTGTTTAAAAATATTTATTATACAAATTTTAAATATAATTTATACATTTGAACATGATATTTATTTATATATAAAATTTATTATAAATTTTAATTATATATAATAAATATGTTTATATATTACACATGCTAAAATTAATACTAGTTATCAATATATAAAAATAATTTTATATTATAATATAAATTATTTATCATAAATCTTAAATATAATTTATATTATCATTTTATTTATTTTTTAAATTTAATTTGATCTCGCTATTTTTCAAAGTTCAATTTACTCTTTTGATTTTAAAAAAAAAAATTCAATATTATTCTTGTGTCAAACACTAACAACATTAATTAATTCAAATAAAATCAAAATGTTTGTTATCAGCCTTACGAGTTCGTTTATGCAACAGTTTTATAGCCAACAACTTTACTTATTTTTTACTTGCAAAGCACGGCTCAATAATTTTTCCTCGTAATGACATTATTATTATTATTTATTATTATTACATAGTTTCTTATATTATGATTTTGTTATCTATCAATTATCAGACTTTGGTAAGCGGTGCTTTTCTTGTTTATGTCGACATTTTCCAATCTCCCGAAAAGAAGTATCTTTACATTGAAACAGTGATAGTTTCCAACAATTTTTTCTTACACGTTTAAGCCTATTCCGGTAACTATAACCAACGCATTTGTAGTTGTGAACCAAACACATTCTTGTAACACTGTAGCAGCATATAATATGTGATTATATCGGAACCAGGAAACGTGGGATAAAGGAAAGCAATTCCAGTTAAAAGGACTAAACATTTCCATTAGCTTGTTGCTATGCTTTCTTTGCTGAGCAAGCTTGTGAAGTAGATCCAGCCTGAAAGTGGCACAATCAAAATTAAATTATTGGGCAGTTATATACTAATTTTGTGTTTGTGGTGTATAAAGCAAGAGTGAAAATTTCATTACCACACATGCATGGACATCATTACAACCGCACATGAGCTCCCCATTGAGAGTATCCACGGCTTGAAATGACCCTCTTCCTTCATTCCTCTGCACAATGATCCCCAAATTAGGATGTATTGAGCCCAGTGTTTTAAGCTTTGGCAACAAAAGTTAGAAGGAAAAAAGGAAAAAATGTGTACAAGTCCTACCTTGTAATAGTCAACAGCAACATAATTAGCCCACCTATTGCCAGCAGCATTGTGACAAGTTTGTAGCATGCCAATGAGACCTCCAGAATTATCTACACATGTTATTGCCTTAAGTGGAACAGAGCGAAAATAGTTTACCAACATTAAGGACTTGCTCTTGTCATCAAGAGGAGAAGATTCTGATCTATGTGGACAGTTTCCTGCTTCCATTCCTCTATCCCCATCTGCAGAATTCAAGATCACCAAAATGAAAATTGACAAAGGAAGGAAGTATAATGTATACCATAACTCACACTCTACCTTTACTGGTGTATCTCTCTTTTAGGGTCTATTTGGGTAAATCTCGGTAGAAAAACTTTTAGAAGAAAAAAATATGAATTAAAAACGAAACAAGCTTCTCTATGAACTAAAATTAGTTTATGAATAATCTTTCTCCTATTAGTTTTTTCAAAATCTCATTTTTTAACTTACATATAAGCTAGATTTAGTTTATGAAGAAAATTATTTCGATTTTTCTTCCTATTCTTTTTTTCTCCTAATGTGCTTCTAGGTAAGTTTATTGAAACAAACCCTTTAATTTAACCCTTGTGTATTAGACTATTACACAATAAAAAATAGAAGGGCTTTAATGGTTGGTGTTTTCTTACACTGATTTTCGACCATGTAATTCCACTGGTATGCAACGCCTTCACTTTGTTCCTTAGACCTGACTGAAGTGAACACCAGCAATCTTTGATTTTTAGCAACCATATCACTTACTAGAGGCCAATCTCCTCCTTTTTTGGGCATTCTACTCACAGGAAACCAAAACTTCATCAAGCCCGCGTCTGTGAAGACTTTTGTCAATCCTTTTGGTGTTTTAACATAATCTTCCAATATGAGTGTCACAATTTCTGTTGGGTTGGCTGACAGAAAAGCTGCAATTTCCTTCAGTGTATCTATAGCTGGTTCCTACTTGTTGATTACAAAGTTAGGGATTTTGTGTAGAGGTACTAGTTGGTCACTAGTGTGCTTGCAAAGAAACAATTTAGGAAAGCATAGGCCGAAAAGAAACAGAACTGGGAAGATTTTACATACAAAAGCTGTGAAGTCATAGCACTGGCCTCGAAATGAATGGCATAACCACACTTCTCCATCAAAATCGTATGTATCTAACATTAGTCCTCGAACTCCATTCTACAAATGAAACATTGATGGAAGAAAATAGTGACCTTAAACATGCTTGTAAGATACAGAACATCAGAAAAATAAGCAGAAGCTAAGCTTAGTAATAATGAATGACATACTTTTAGCTGCTGGGTTACACTGTCTTCTTGGTTAGTGATGGTTACTCGAGGCACTCCTGTATGAGATGGTTCTCCATCAATGGCAAAAGCATTGTGCGTTGTCAAAAATGCATATTTGTTGAATGGTAGAGAGTTATTCTAACCAGCAAAAAACACAACCAATTAACAACAGATTAAGATGGAATACCCCTAAATTTCCTTTTTTTTTCCCCCTTTTTCCTCTCTCAAAGAGTATGCATACATTACACTATAACTTATTTTTCTCTTTTGGTATCCAAAACTTCAAAAGTTTTTCATAATTTTCCCCAAAGAGGCAGTAATGCTCAGATCATGTAAATGATGGAAATATTTTCAGAAAAAACTTAGATATTGTATCAAGTATTTTTAATGTTGTTCAGCAATTAGAATTTGAATTTTACTTTGGTAATTTGTGTTGACATATAATGCAATCATATATTATGCATGTTATCAAAGTAGAATTCCAATTTTGTTTGGAGAATCATACCAACTTCAAATATTATAATGTACCAAAGTTTTTCCAATAGTTTCTGGCCTACACCCACCAGAACTAGAACCAACCTAAGTGTTGTTCAACTACTCCAAATTTTGTCACTTGATGGCATGTTAAAAAAGTTTAACATTTAGGAATTGGGTGGGTTGTCATTTATGCGTGAGTTGTGAGAAATTCTTGTGAAAATAGGCAGATAATAGAGAAAAATGGGTATCTTACTATGAGCTTGAATTGATCTGTGATGGAAGATCTCACACACCTAGAGCCTGAAAACCCAAGTGGGCAAGAGAAACAATAGAGTCCGGCCCCACAATCACCATTAGACGAGCATTCATCATCAAGCTGATAAAAGATTCGAAAAAACATGATAGTCTTAGAAACGGAAAAGTTAAAGGCATGATTGAAAGCAGAGGTGGTAGGTAGGGTATACAAACCTTGCAGTTTCCATTAGAGCAAGCAGCATCAACACAATGGCACAATGGAAAAATAATAACCAAAAGCAAGCACAGTAGTGAACTCATTTGTGCAATGATTAATCTGAATTAGTGGGGTGCCTAAAAAAGAAGTGAATAACAGCAGACAAAGGAAAGAAAATCACCAAAAGGGATCCAGTTTATCTTAAAAATACATTGATGGGAATTCTGTCTTGTCCGGGGAAAGTTTAAGGGAACATGTGGGTGTCTCAATTCTCATGTACAGAGGCCAGTTTTAACTTTAAACACACGAGTATGCCACTGTAGCCGAAAGGGGAAGTGGTTATGTAATAATATGTTGCATTTATTGTTGGAAACGAAAGTTCAAAATAATCGTTGAACTTGACTAACGAGAGTGTGAAAGGTTTCCAACTTTTTCGTAGTTATCGGCGAACGCAGTGCTACATATAAAGAAGAGCACATTTGGTTGAAGTACCATTTCGGAATTGCCTTTATTAATATGGGGGACATAAAATATACGACATTCTCGTAAGTGCTCTAGGCTTGTGGTTGGACACATTTATATACATGCGCGTTGGTTTTGACAATATAAGATTATGGTTTATCAACCATTGTCGTTGCTGGTGTAATTAATTTAAGAGAGACTTTCCGGTACATTACATTTTGGAGGGTTTTGGAACCTTTTTTACATGGCATAAATATAATGGTTAAGTAAACCAAGTAACTTAAATGAATAACAAATTTTTAGAAATTGTAAAATAGTCCTAAGTGTTAGGTAAATTCTTGGATGGACAAGTAATGTATCATACACCCTATCATACAATATTAAAGTTTCTGAATTTTTTATTGAAATAATTATTTAAAAAAAAAATATTACCCAAAAAGCACATGTTCCAATGTACTGACGCAACAGCTATTAATGTTCAGAACGGGTCGTTCTGAAATAAGAACGGTCCGTTCCAGATGAAATAATAACACATGAAGAATAGATTAGAACGAGTCGTTCCAAAAGAAAAATAACACATGACGAATGGATCAGAACGGCCCATTCTGGTTTAACTGGTCATGTGTTATTTTTGAACCTGGAACGGGTCGTTCCAGATTCAAAAAAAGCACATGGCCAGTTAAACCAGAATGGGCCGTTCTGATCCATTCGTCATGTGTTATTTTTGAACCTGGAACGGGTCGTTCCAGATTCAAAAAAAGCACATGGCCAGTTAAACCAGAACGAGCTGTTCTGATTTCGAAACGAGTCGTTCTGGCCAGATAGGTCAACATATGGAACCATAAACGTGAGCACACATAGATGAGTCATCCAATGCAAGGCCCATTGTTTCACACACAAGAATACATGGAATGGTACATGACCAATTCCATCTATTTTCTATCTATGTTACGACTATTATCACAAATTAACATAAATCCTAAACCCTAAACCCCAAACACATTTAACTGTGTATTTCTTAATTGATGAAGCATTGACAAGTAAATACATATAAATAAGTAGATACATCTTGACCACCTTTCTCATATATTTGGTAGTATAGGAGTTTATATTGTGTTTGGTCTTGTATTATGGGTCTTAGTATAAGACTTTTTGGGTTTTAAGTTTATTGGGCCTAGTTTTGGGCTTCATGGGCCTTTGGACTTTTGATTGCTTTAGAGCTTAGTGAGCCTAATAGGTTTGGTGGGCCTAGAATTCTCTTTACTTAGGCTTTATATGGATGACCACCTTTCTCATATATTTGGTAGTATAGGAGTTTATTTTGTTTGGTCTTGTATTATGGGCCTTAGTATAAGACTTTTTGGGTTTTAAGCTTATTGGGCCTAATTTTGGGCTTCATGGGCCTTTGGGCTTTTGATTGCTTCAGAGCTTAGTGAGTCTAATGGGTTTGGTAGGCCTAGAGTTCTCTTTACTTAACTTTACATGGATAACCACCTTTCTCATATATTTTATAGTATAGGAGTTTATATTGTTTGGTCTTGTATTATGGGCTTTAGTATAATACTTTTTGGGTTTTGAGCTTATTGGGCCTAATTTTGGGCTTTATGGGCCTTTGGGCTTTTGATTGCTTCAGAGTTTAGTGAGTCTAATGGGTTTGGTGGGCCTAGAGTTCTCTTTACTTGGGCTTTACATAGATGACCACCTTTCTCATATATTTGGTAGTATAGGAGTTTATATTGTTTGGTCTTGTATTATGGACCTTAGTATAAAACTTTTTGGGTTTTAAGTTTATTGGGCCTAATTTTGAGTTTCATGGGCCTTTGGGCTTTTGATTGCTTCAGAGCTTAGTGAGCCCAATAGGTTTGGTGGGCCTAGGGTTCTCTTTACTTGGATTTTACATGGATGACCACCTTTCTCATATATTTGGTAGTATAGGAGTTTATATTGTTTGGTCTTGTATTATGGGCCTTAGTATAAGACTTTTTGGGTTTTAAGCTTATT